GGGGGGGGGGCAGCCGTCACACCACCCACTTCCCTAATTGTTTTTTGAAAAATAAAAAAATAAAAAAATATTATATTCAAATGTTAAGTGCAAATTGTCATCAAGAGGTGTCGTTTAATCATCATAAATTCAATCTAGACTCCACTCATTATTATATTTAATATGTTAGTTTACAATATCCTTCTCGCAATAATCAACTTTTCACAGGTATTCCTAAATTTATTTGTCTGTAATTTAAAGTTTATTGTCTGTAAAATAACATTAACTAGAGATACTATGTTCAATAGAACATCAACCCAGTAATTTTTTAAGAGATTACCACTGTGACCTTTAACCTCAACATGTGAACACCCCATGTTCTAATGCTGGTCTGATCTAAAACTGGTCCCATCGTTAGTTACTAGCAATATTTGATAATTTTCACTATAGTGACCCTTGTGAATTGTTACCTATAGATGAAGAGTAGTTTTTTCATATTGAGAAGGCCCTAATGATCATTCCTGGTAAATTCGACTTCAGTTGGGCTATTTTGAAAATTTGACCCCGATGACCCCTATGTAACCACTGATGACAGACAGGGGTGTAGGAGGTGTCACTGGTTCTTAATGATCAATTTTGATTGAATTTGGTTTATTCGTTTGCCATTAGTAACATTTTGAACCTTTGACCTATGAACTTTGATATAGGGTGAAGAATATTTTTTCGTGTTTAGAAGGTACTAAGGATCATTCCTGGTAAATTTGAGCTCAGTTAGGATATTTTGAAAATTTAACCCCGATGAACCCTATGTGACCCCTGATCCCAGACTGGAGTGTAGGAGGTGTCGCCGGTTCTTAATGATGAAATTTAATTGAATTTGGTCCAATGGTTTGCCATTAGTAGCATTTTGAAATGTTACTAGAGAGAACAAAAGAATAACCCTTTAATGACATTTGACCGTAAATCGCTGAACACCATAAGACCCTACATTATGCCAATACATATGTGCCCAGGACAAGACTGTGTTATGATATTTGTGACAGAAGAAGTATTTTATTCCTTTTTTTGAAAGTTGTTTACCCTAATGACCCCTATGTGACCTTTGACCCCAAGCAGTGAACACCCCACGTATGAAAGGTTTCACCGATTATACTGACTAGGTTTGGTTGAAATCGGCGCAATCGTTTGGCAATACATAAATGGGAGGTGGCAACCGGTGCTACTGACCAAGTTTTAATTAAATCGGTCCAGTAGTTTGCTACTAGTAGCCTTTTTTAAAATGTTGCCAGAAAGAAAGAAACTCTAGGAAACAGAACCCAGTCAGCATGCTGCTGACTGGGTAAAGAAGGAAGAAACTGCTAGTAAACAGAACCCAGTCAGCATATGCTGCTGACTGGGTAATTATGTAATTTCTGTCTATATTTGTATTTAACTCATTATTTGAGCAGCTGGATTGAAATTTCGACTGTATCATGATTATTGTAGAACTGCTTTGATCGTTAATAAACCAAACACAATTGATGTTCAGTGCGGGCTTTCGTCGATGTTAACATGACTACATCAGGCTATACCCTCCATGGTCAGGCTATGAGCTACCATCCGTTGTTTTAGTGTTGTGTAAACAACGCCCTCTGGTGCCAGCTCTATTCCTGTCAGGATTTGTTGTGGGGCACCCCCGACCTTTCAGGTTTAAAAGTTGGTCAAAGGTGTGTGAAAGCTTGTAATGTACCATCGTTTGTTGTTCTCTCCTAATTGATATGGCCTCCATGATTGTTCTTTTGCCCCATATTGGTTCCTTTCTGATTATGTTTACGTCATCCAAGTTTGGAGTGTGGCAGGGACGTAGCCAGGATTTTGAAAG